CTACGGATATGCGATAAGGTTGGGACTATTAACATGTTAACATACATCAGGTCAATATCATCGGCTTGGAAATCTTCTGCTTGACTTTGTCAGACAGATTAGTGGTATTAGGTGGAAAGTGACCCTCGCGATAAACGTAATAGATGTTGATATGGAGAACCTACACAAGATGGCAATACTGATATGTCATCTTCACACACATTTATACAGCTGTACTGAGTGTAGCAATTTGGTAATTAATCAGGCCGATCGAAGCAACTTTTAAAGTAGCATTAATAATATGAATAGTAATACCCATTTTAATTTCTTTTTGTTATGATGTAGATTTTTAGTTTATTTATTTTTTTATTTATTTATTTTTTGCCAAGAAACATCCAGCTTTATACAGCTCACAGTTTATCACCATTCAGTAGAATCTTAGGATGCAATCTAGAATTTGACCATGCATTTAAGTTCGTCCCATTTCAGATTGATAAATACTAGTTAAAAGCCAGTGGTGATGATTTGTCTCGTGTTCCTTTCAATTGAATTGAAATTGGTAATAGGTTTTGTTTTTTTTACATCTGAACAGTTTGTACATTACTTCACGCCATGTCCATGAGAGAACATGATGGCGAGTTATTCTCCTTTGTATGTGTCCAACAGACATATGGCATGTGTCCTCAGCTTGCCTGTCTTCTAAACCTTTTATTGCAAACACTACTATCAACACATATCATAGGTAACTATTAGATATCGTACATTAAGCACCATATATGATAGACAGAATACACAATAGCACATAGGACAGTAAACACCATTCACTATAGACAATACGCACTAAACACAATTCAGGATAAACAATAGACACTAATCACCATACAGGATAAACAATAGACACTAAACACAATACAGGATAAACAATAGACACTAAACACTATACAGGATAAATAATAGGCACTAATTACCATACAGGATAAACAATAGACACTAAACACAATACAGGATAAACAATAGACACTATACACCATACAGGATAAACAATAGACACTAAACACCATACAGGATACACAATTGGCACTAATTACCATACAGGATAAACAATAGACGCTAATTACCATACAGGATAAACAATAGGCACTAAACACCATACACGATAAACAATAGACACTAAACACCATACAGGATAAACAATAGACACTAAACACCATACACGATAAGCAATAGACACTAATCACCATACAGGATAAACAATAGACACTAATTGCCATACAGGATAAACAATAGACACTAAACACCATACACGATAAACAATAGACACTAATCACCATACAGGATAAACAATAGACACTAATTGCCATACAGGATAAACAATAGACACTAAACACCATACAGGATAAACAATAGGCACGAAACACCATACAGGATAAACAATAGACACTAAACACAATACAGGATACACAATTGACACTAATTACCATACAGGATAAATAATAGACGCTAATTACCATACAGGATAAACAACAGGCACTAAACACCATACAGGATAAACAATAGACACTATACATGATAAACAATAGGCACGAAACTCCATACGGGATAAACAATAGACACTAAACACCATACAGGATAAACAATAGACACTAATTGCCATACAGGATAAACAATAGACACTATACATGATAAACAATAGACACTAAACACCATACAGGATAAACAATAGACACTAAACACCATACAGGATAAACAATAGACACTAATTGCCATACAGGATAAACAATAGACACTAAACACCATACAGGATAAACAATATACACTAAACACCATACAGGATAAACAATAGACACTAAACACCATACAGGATAAACAATCAGTCAATCAATCATACGTTAGTAAAGTTTCGTACAAGACATTATACATACATATCAGACAATGTAGACTTTAAATACGATCCGTGTTTACTGACTTATGAAACTAGAAAACTGCTGAAAAATGTATTTCATCGTGATCACAAGCAGAAGCGTCGAAAGCTTAATTGTAAATATATATATGATCCATTTATAAGATGTGTTGTTTGTATTAATTATTGCAGGAAGCTAAAGATATACAAATAGATAACATCTTTTCATTAGACAATCAGATTTGTCACTATCATCAGGATTTTTATAAATTATCGCAGATGTTCTCTGCTCGAATAAGACGACAAAAGTGTTCTTGTGTTTTATAATTACAAACAAGATATAAAACTTTAAAAAAGAAGTTGATATAAGCCAGTCATTGGTGTTTAGTATTGGACTCATTTAAACCAAATATATTGTATTATGTAGGTGTGTAATTTTACTTATGTTGAAATTCATGATATACATTGTTTATTAAACAATTGGTGCTAACAAAAAACTCTTGAAATAAAATTACTGTTCAAATTAAAAGGAATTTATACATTAGCATAGCAAGCTAGACCGCTAAATATTCTACCAAAATTTGCTAGATATTAATTTATTTTGTATTTACAATAGAAAAGTAAAACCGGCAACGATAGTACAACAAAACACAAAAGACTTCATCAAAAGCTTATTTGAAAAAAATGGACTAAGAAACGTTATAACGTTATAATGAGGTTTCTTTGAAGTTTAATGTACCAGATAGTTATAACAGAGCTCTGGAAATCAACTTCACGTAGATCAATGTATTCATAGAATAGAATTTTTCGGTGAAATGAGAAAATACGTATGACATGTTGAAATCACCTGGTTGGTATGAGAGGGGAGGGGCTCTCTCGATTTATCATCAATATGACCGCGGCATGTAACAAGGAAATCCACGACATTAAATGTCTGTGTTGGATATATGATAGAAAGTTACATGGTCCTAGTTCCTGATTCTATCCAGGGTTCCACATCGTTTATTTGTCAGGACAAAACTTATATTTAACCTTTTTTGTACAATTCTCGATTTTTCATTTGAATGTCATCAACGTTACGGAAATAGATTATTTTGATGAAGTAAATGACAAAATGTCAATTCAGAAGGATTCGAGGTAAAAAAGTTTTGTTTTGCATAAAAAATATTAAATAATCTTATCGAAAATAGTGACAACCAGAGGACCTCGTGCCGATAATTAATTAAATTGTTGGTTTTTATAATGAATTGATATATTGATTTGATTGTTTGTTTTTGTGATGTTATAAAAACAAAAACATGTAACCATCTGCTAGCCGATCACTTCAAGGGGAGGCAAAGGTAAACACCCAACAATTGCCACCTATGAAAACACTTAGCGCGCGCACGTGGAGGATATCCAAACTTCTCCGTCAAAGTGAAAGTAAGTCTATGTTTCTTTAGCTGACAGCGTGGAGGTGGCTGTGGAGTATATATTGCCCGACCCATCTGTCCCTCTCCACTTCTAACCCGGCGAATCACTTACCTGTCATTAATTACAAAGTATTCATTCCAATCAAGTGCGGAACACCTCCGGCTGCCCAGTGCCCTACTAGACTGACCACCACATGGCCGGAGCCATGTCCAGCTAAGGTGTGTATAATGCACGTCGAGTAGTTGTATTGTTTCTCACTTTATCTCAAACCGTTATCTTAATCTTGTCTTAATCATGTGCTAATCCTGTGGGCGTGTTGAAGTTGTGACTTACAGTGGTGCCTCATAGACTGACCGCAACTGACCAACAGATTTACTCTTGAGTAACATATATTAGTTGACGGTTGTAATACACGTCTGACATTTTCACCTGAAAAATCGATATCTGATTTCAGTTATAAAACAAATTGTTATTGATTTCTGACTTGTGAATTGATTTCTGACTTGTGACTTTGAAATTTTGAACAGACATAAAAACGACTGTATTTTTTTATGTGGGATTTCTATAAAAGCATATTTTGTAATTACATCTGGTGGGTTTGACAATACAAGCTGGCATTCCTCAGGAGTCCGTAACGATTATTCTTCGTAACAATACAACACGGCTACAACGATAGGACTTTCACGTCTTCCATTGATTGTCATATTTGTTCATTTATCAATTTAAAAAATTACAAGTCATAACGATATTAAAGTTTATTCGCTGCTTTCGTTTATTTCCTAATTTCTATAATTGTAATGGATTTGCCGGTATTGTACACACTATCAGGCACGCTGTTTAAGTGTGTCGTTACGCCAGTATAGGCAAATGTAATGTTTGTACTCTCCCATTCTCCACACATCTACCACGCTAATCTCTAACAGCCGACAATCATTGACAAAATAGTCGTAATCAATCGGATCTCGTGCTACTAGTGTAGTACGTCACGTCAGTGGGATGGCCTCTCAACTGTTGACTGACGGAAGTGGGCATGCGCGAAGATGAGTGACTGGGTGAAATACCTCCCTCCCGCCCAATCAAAAAGCTAGTTATTCGAAGTCTTGACAAGTGAATTGTAAATAGCTATGATAGGAATCGACGGATAGGCTGGTCCGACACTATGTGCTTCAACCTGCGTAAGGGCAGTGGATGTTTTTTGTTGCGTTAAAATCGCTCTAAGTCACAACCAAAATATTTTGAAACCGAAATCTTGAATATGAAATTATTTATAAGTGATAGTGACACATGAGTATGCCGCATATGCGGGCCATACCGTGGTGTGAGTGGCCACTGTAGACGGAGAGGACTGGAATCAACAAAATACCTTTATCAGATGCAAAAAAAAATATTCAGCGAAATGTTGGACAGAGTACATCCGTGTATTGGCTGTGAGCCGGTGTAACATGGTAGTACCTTCACCAATGGAAGTATTAGGATACATTGACCCACAACGTCCTGTCAACTATTTGTGTCATTAAGTGGTCATGGCGATTTTTTCACCATGTAGTCAGTTCTTAAATCGTTGATGGTTAATAAGGGAGTGTTTTTATTAATTCATGAGAGGCAGCTTGTGTGGGATTACTGTGTGTCTGTCCTCCGACACACAGACAAACATGTGAACCATGTGGATGTGTTCGTTAACCTCTCTCCCAATGGACGCGCGTGACGAATGCTCGGATTGCGAACCCGTAAGTAGTTCCTTCAAGGCATTCCAAGTGTTTTTTGTTTAATACCAATCACACACTTTCATATTTATCCGATTGTTCGGTAAAGGTCCGATCTTTCCGTATGGAATTAGGATCATCGTCAGGTACAGCGGTGGGTCCGTCAGGATCATCACCTGTCCAGGTACACGGTAGATCTAAGGTTCTGGTGATTAATGTGGGAATCAACATCTCTGGTACTCGTTGAGACTCATTTTCTGTTGAGGATTATTATCATCGTTGAAGAACATCTTATGTACTGTAGGGAACTGTTACCATCTTTAGGTAGCCCTGTAGATTTAGTGTTCTAGATCCATCGTGCATATCTTACGGCCTGTAAGGGATTATCACCTATCTTCAGGTACATGTTATGTCCTGTAAGGGATTATCACCTATCTTCAGGCACATCTGATGTCCTGTAAGGGATTATCACCTGCCTCAGGTACATCTTGTGTCCTGTAAGGAAACATCACCTGCCTCAGGTACATCTTGGATCCTGTGTGAAATTATCGCCTTTCTTCAGGTACATCTTATGTCCTGTAAGAGATTATCCTTCAGGTACACCTTATGTCCTGTAAGAGATTATCCGTTGGGTACATCTAATGTCCTAGAGGGGTTATCCTTCGGGTACAGGCAACTTATTTAATTTTAATAGTATAATGAAAATTCTTTAAAATATTTGCCAGCATTCGTACATAAACAAGGATTTCCACCTGTACAACTACCTTCAGTGGCGAGAACACCTGATATTTGGCCTCGGACAGGTGTGTGTATCGCCGTACCACGTATATACAAAGAAAAATTCATATAAATAAAAAGAAAACATTAAGCCGTTAAAATTTCAGCATAAAGCATATTAGCTGTGGAGCGTCGGCCGGGCGTGACAGGTGTTAGGCAGGAATCCCTTTAATAGGACTACCTGGTACGATGGTGGTGTATTACTCGTGTTAACTGGTAAATATATTGTAATAGAAAGGTCCACGGCGCTATGTTTGGCACGTGTTCACTGTAATGCGATCGAGCAGGTGTCCCAATATCATCAGCATATCATTTCTTGTGGAATACCTTGCAGAAGTTGGCAAGATTGACCGATGTTTAATATTAATTTACAGAGCTAGAAATATCGTAAAACTGTCATTATCATTTAAAACAAGTACGCGATAAGTCGGTCTCAAACTCTACTCCTCGTTCAAAATAAAATTTGCCCACCAAACTCACAAAACACGTACAGTCGATACAAAAAAAGATGTTCGAAATAAGACGTACAAGCTGCACGTTTACAAAACAAGACGAACACGCTCCATCAGTACAGTACACGCATCATCCGTGCTATAGATACTTAGTTCGCACAATAAACTGTCAGAAACAAGACGGTACACTTTCAGAAACAAGACGGTACACATTCAGAAACAAGACGTGCACACTTCTTCCGTTCAGAAGATAAGATGTAGGAGACATACAAATCTCGCGAACTCATAACCTGAAGATGTTAGTAGATATGTTGTTTATACCATGCAGGCTTGGGGCACGTACCGTGGAACATGCTTGGTCATTGTCTGTCACTATCTACAGGATCTGCCTATCGGACGGCACTGTTTCATCTTACGTCAAAACATAAAACACGACGTTCGATCATTGATCCAGCTGTCAGAGTCACCCCCGGGCCTGCCCTCACTTTACCTACCACACCACACACGCGCTGTTACAAACTCATTGTCATTTGAATCACGTGTTACCCATATGATATACAATCTCATTCATTATCCCTTTTATTTCAAAACAGCTATGTAAAAATAATGTTCAATATGTTTTACAGAAGACAAAATTTCTCGTGCTTTTTAAAATTTAATTTTGAAACGTGTCTCTTAAGCCAAATGTGGCTGGGTAAATTAAATGCCTTAAAAATACTTACATAGAAAAAGTCTGTACGTTATCTGGGGACCAAATGATAATATGTTTTAAGATTTTCCCCAGTAGCTTCTACCATACTTTTATTCATTTAGTCAAAATTATAAAAGGGACGGGAGATTTATAAACTCCTTTATACGTGTTAGGTATAAATGATATAGCCGGGTTATCTGCAGGTATTAAATACCAAACCACATTAGAATATGTCCCGTACATATAATTTGTATCTCCCGATTTAGGTATCACATAGAAAAATAAAAAGCCCTGTGTAAAGTATTTAGGTCCGACTAAATTTTCTTTTCTAAAAATGAAATGTTTAAGATCGTGTCTTACTCTGGTCTAGAACGGTCTGGATTATAGGTTCACGTGCCCAAATACTTCTCGTTTACGGCCATATTTTTGTGTTCCTTAGGGCCACATTTCTGGTTCTCTCGCTCAGTAGTAAAACCTATGGTTCACAGTGACCACGTGCCCAGTTTTGAACGACTATATATTTTGGTACTTGCCATTGGTTCCTGGTCCATGTTTACTCGTCGAATAACTGACCATGATTGTAGAACCCATTTTCGTTAAATATTGTATGATTTTCTATAATATCCCTAACCTTGTGACAATACTGCCTTTAACCTCACTACAATGTAAAGGTCCCCGGGATTGTCTAGTGTACTGAGTGTTACTTAAAGTTGTAGCTTCAGTTAAAACACGTGTAGTTATACAACGCTGAGTTGTGTCTTTCTCTTTCTAATTATTTTGTTAATTATTCGCGCCCTCGTTTACCTGCCCTACACGTGCGGTGCCAATACCGTGTGTGAGCAGGCACATTCCCCTTCCTCAACTCTCGTGTAATCCACGACAACCATACATTTTACAAAACTGGCACTATTAGCAGAAAGGCTGCTAAATGAATTAAAGAGCACGTGAGATGTGGCAATGACAGCACCAGACAAGTGTTAGTGCCGAGGGTGTACTTGGATTTAGGCACTCCACACAAATGCCTGGAGTGTTGGACAGTTTATCTGTATAAACGGCCCGCGATGGTCTCACTCTCTCTCGCCCTCCCTGACGGCCTATTAACATGATAGTGCTAAACCATTTTGTTCACTGATATATTTTATCAGTGCAAGTTAAAACTTACTAAACAATGTAGATAACCGCAAGTCGTTATCCACCAAGTCAACAGTCTCCGTTTTAGTGAGACACACCGACAGCAAAGGTATTCCGACTAGCGCTGTGTATTTCTGTACACAGATTAATGGAATGGAATTTAATCTCCAATATTTAGGTATTAACTTACAATTAATTCGAGGATCCTCTCTATTGTTATTACGGTTATTTTCTCTCGTATTGGAAACTACAATAGTAAATGGTTCATTTTTTTAAAAAGATATTTTCCAATTTTGTTTTTTTTCTAATAGTAGGATTGATAATGTCCCTGTTGATCATGTACAGACAACTCTATTTCACATTTAGGACGTCAACCATTATTCGCTAAGCTCCGTTTCCATTTTGCCACCACCAGGCAGTAAATAGATATTCATGCAAGGATTCATTCTAACAATATCCTTGGGTCTTCAGTATCAATTCTTCATTAGTCACAGATTTTCAATTTAAGTAACAAGAGAATTTTCCTAAATCCCCACCATCTCCCTAATTCTTAAATGACATCCCGTTCAACTTTCTAGATTTTCGTCGATGAACTGTCCCACCCGTCTAGGACGAGACTCGTTATACATAGTTTGTAAATTTCGGAGTTACAAGGACACTCCGCATTATAGGGCAGCGCGTTATTCCCGAGTTCGGTCCCCCACCGTTCTCTATCTGCCGTCGCTACTGTTTATATCCACCAGCCTCTACATTCCGTTCCACTACCAAACCTGGCAGACACAGATCTGTGGAGGATAACATTCGTGATCTATAAACATTTAAATGGTGCTATGAGATAGTGTCAAACCCACCTTTAACCTTTCTGGATATTTATTGAAATTCGTACCGGGGGTTAATACTTGTAGATTTTGGTATTGACTCCATGAAGTCATCCTGTCCTTAATGATACAATTTGTATAACCAAGAGTAGTGGCAACCTTAACACGTATTATGTTCCAATTACCAAACAGGTGATCAGAACTTGTACAGTGATACAGTTAGGGATGGACCTGATGTAGGCCGGATATTGATGACAGAAGAATGACTGTATATAGTATTTAAAAGGTTTCGGAATATTGCCAGTTGCCCGTACTTCCTAATCATATCGTCCATATTAAACACGCCTTTTACACAAGTTTTTTTCCCATGAAACTGTCCTTTTTATTAGTATAAAACCCCACACTGCCATAGTAATATTTTCTGGAACGAGAGTAAGTGAGACCGGAACTTGGGAGTTACCCTCTAAGCCAGTGGGCGTGTATCAGTGATCGATCAATCCGTTACAGGGTTTTTCGTGTTTAAACCCGATGATTACAGCCCAAACTATTGTAATTAGCTTCACTGACCGATTACTCAGCCGTGTGCGTAACCGTGGTCTATAACTAGACCATTACTCACCGTGTATTTTCACATTCTCGTGAGTGGTGAAGACATAAGCAAGGATTTTACAAGTATACCTTTTTAATGGAGTTTTATATACGTTATATTCTTATGCCAAATACACTACAAATATAAACGTAAAACTCCCCGTCGTGTGTTCACAAAAAAATACCAAGAGTGTAGACTTTGGTGGTACCCGGTATGCCATACTTTAGGTTCCCATAGTGCTAGCTATCGGGAACCACGGACGGTCGCACTATCGCCAAATCTAGTCGTCGGGAATTTTATCTCTCGCTCAGATTTCTGTTTCGGTGGAGTCCCTCATTAGCAAAGCATATGCTCGCGGTATTGTGGCATGCTGTTGGTGGCAGTGTAGTTTGTCGGCAGAAAAAAAATCACCAAATGCACGAGCTTTTAAACAGTTACTAGTTATACTTTTAAAAAAATGATGTCAGATTCTGAGAGAACCTGAATGTTGCGCAAGTTTTCTGACATATTTCTGATTTTTTTTCTGCATAATTGTTATGTAACATTGTGAAACAAATATGATAAAATAACTAATAAATTCCGGAATAATGATTACTAAAGGAGACGTGATAATTACGACAGCGGAGTGGATCATTTGGCTCTTTAACCCCGAATCAGCCTGCGTATGTTTTATACCACTACCAGTAAAGGGGTACATGTTGCTCGCTGATCCCGAGTGAGCCCATAGGCCGTTTGTGTATCTAAATCGGGCGCTGGCCCCGCACACGCGTGTGCCAGACTACCATATGGCTTTGAGGTTTTTTTTATTTTTTGTTGCCATTTTCAGTAAAATAATTTAATAAACTTTTTATAAGATTTCATCAAGCGTCATAGAGAAAGGAGCGCCAACGTAAATTAAAGCACTCTGTTGACCGAGTGTTTAGGACATCCGACCGACAGCCATTGGCTTATTACAATTGGGTGAGAGTAGATCACCATAGCATTTATTGTTTTTTACCCAGTAAACGAATATAACTAAAATACAAGATTTTTTTTATTGGCACGATCACAGGGACCGTGGCCGATTGTGACGTCATAAATCAAATATGATAATATGCATAACGCACATTAATGATATCACTGCGCAGACAACTGAAACACATTCCATTAATTAGTGAAGGTATACAGGGAAGTTCGAGATTGGACTCTCACAGGCATCGGGACACCTCGCCGTTACGCTACATTCGTGACTCCTCAACCTCGTACATTTGTAAAGTTTAGGTAATATTAATTCTGTGCACTTTAATTAATAGACGTTTCGTTTCGATCAACATGAGTTCTTTAAAACCTGTGATCAGATCGTCGAAGAGACTGCTACACTTTTAATTCAAAATCGTTTAAGCAATATTAACTCTCTCGAACCTCACGGCTGGTCGTCCCTCGCTTGTCTTGTGTTTCCGACTTCGCGTGTTAAAATACCATCACTAGTCACTCGAACGCGTCGAGGTACACGATTAGAGCCGGTTTAAAATGCCGCGTGTCTAGGTGATGGTTTTGTGGTTTTTTATGTTAACCCCTTACAGAAAGCCTTGGCAATGCTTCTGTTGTCACTATTGAACTTTAACCGAGAACAATTACACCCCTCGACTGCCCAAGGGCCGTATACCTACCGCTAACTGTGTCCTTTGTGTATTTACAGGTATTATCATCATGATTGGTGGAGTAAGAACACTTCTGTTGCTAGCTCTCAGTGTTGCAGTAACCGTACAACAGCCCGCGGATCAACAAAATAATCTCTTTGACAACAAATTCCTGGACAACGTTGACTCTCAACAAAAGAAAGAAATACTTGAAGCGTTTGAATCGAGTCTATTGAATTTGTTCAGCCTTAATGCTCGTCCCAGACCAAGAAAGGATATTAAAATACCTCAGTATATGATTGACTTGTACAAGACTCACACTCGAGATCCTGATGTTTTGTCGCCTAACTTTAACATTCGGGGAAAAGGGGTTGGCACAGCCAATACCGTGAGGAGTTTTTATCACAAAGGTATGTATCTGGAAAATGATTTTAACGAGAACAAATTATACATCTTGTATAGCGCCAAATACGTACTTACAACGTTATTATAAATTTATGACAAAAATTGAAGTAAAATAAAAAACCATATCTACATGATCCCATCTGAAGGAGTGACGAAATGGTATTGTGTTATCTCAGCCGTATACCGTATCGTGTTGTAAATATATCTTTTGCACTAACTCTTCTTTAGTTGGTGTGCTTTGTATTTCATAACTAAAATAAAGTTTTGATCGTCTTATACAATGAAATAATTTATCGTATATTTTTGGGTTTTTGACCGAACTTGCTTTGTGTATTACAGATGACATTGAACATCCGGTCGAGATGACAGGGTGCGGGGAGGAGAACTGTGTACGAGTGTGGTTCAATGTTTCTAACATTCCCGTTGAGGAAGTACTGACTGCCGCAGAGTTGCGCGTGTTTTTCGACAAGGATCATAGTGCTGTAGATACTAGTGTAAGGAGAGGACGCTTACGAGTGGAGATATTTCAAGTGATGAAACCTATCAAAAAGGGTCAGGACCCAATAACGAGGCTTTTGGATGTGAAACACGTGAGTGGTCGTAAGAACGCTTCTTGGGCGTCTTTTGATGTTCAGCCCGCTGTGTTAAAATGGAAGAACTCGCCAGATTCGAACCACGGATTGGAGGTCAGAATTTTACCTTACAACAATCATCCATCTAAACAGCCTATAAAACATGTTCGTTTACGGCGATCTGTTTCTGCTTCTGAAGAAGAATGGCATTTACAAAGACCTCTTTTAGTTACATATACAGATGACAATCGTGGTAAATCGCGCACAAAAAGAAGTACTAGTAGAAAGTCTAAACGCAGACGACCACGCAACCGGAAGCGGAGGCGACACAAGAAATACTGTAGGAGGAAACCTTTGTATGTAGACTTTACCGCTGTTGGGTGGACAGACTGGATTTTTGCTCCGCCTGGTTATCAAGCTTATTATTGTCAAGGCGAATGTGAGTTTCCGTTTTCGGAGCACATGAACGCTACAAATCATGCAATAGTGCAGGACTTGGTGAATTCAATAGACTCCAAGTCCGTCCCCAAACCGTGCTGTGTGCCCACAGAACTGAGTCCTATATCACTTCTCTATGTGGACGAGTATGAAAAAGTGATACTGAAGAGTTATCAGGATATGGTAGTAGAAGGGTGCGGGTGTCGGTGACACCTGTTCCGGAACTCTTGTGCGAAAGTGTGTATACGTGAGAGAAATATTATTTATTGAATTGAGAGTTCTGGAAGGAAGAATGAACGTGATTTTTGGTTGTGATATTCTGAGTATACATGTTTGTGTTGACAGTGCGCGCGTCTGGATATTGGAATGAAAACGTCAGTGGTACGACTCGCGTGTTGTCAAGGTTAACCCGGTATCGATCCATCCAATCTCCACCGACCAATGTTTCCTGAAATCTGCTTTTAATGAATAGTTTTTAAGTGTTGTTATTACGAATATATATAAGTGACATATCTGTGGCAAATGCGCGTTGATGATAACATCGTTATGTAATGATGTTATATCGATACTGAATCTAGTCGTTCCGGTCTACAAGTGTTATGTAATAATTAAGAAGTTAGAATATATTTAACTACAATATATAGACTACCTCGCTAACGTCATGACGTCATCGTAACTTGATTAATTACCGGTTTTAAACATGTGTGACCATGTCAACTTCTATAAATTACACATCACAGACAGTTATGAAGTATAGTGTTGTGTAACGTCTGGACTCCCTCTCACAGGAGGGTGTGTACCATATTGTGGAAAGAAAGCTTGAACCATCATTGTCCTCATAAGTATGTATAGGCGAAGTGATAGGCTACAAACTGCGGTAAAACGCCAGACAGCACTGTTACACGTGTACTTTAACCAAGTCCGGGGAGACTTTTGAAGACCTAATTACACATAGGCTGCCAATGTTGCAGTTAAGTTGAGATAGCAGTGTCTCTGTACGGGTCGTTGTCGCCTGACGAACAATGACTCTGTACAGATCGTCGTACGATAACTTTATATAGCATCCCTTGTAAAGGATTAGCATAATCCGAGCGATAACCCCTGGATAATCTCCACTCATCTTTATGCCAAACATCATCTCCATCTTAACGTGTGATTAAGATCGCTGGAACAGAGGCAGTCGTTGAGATGAGAGCGAGCGTGAAAGTTTGTAGGCGATATCTTTTAAAAGTAATATATATATATATGCTCGTGTCTTTGTACTGTTGACGTGACTTAGATACGAAACTTGGGGAAGTTGGATGGACTGATTGAGGGTATGATGTTAAGTATGTCTATATATTTATCTGACGAGTGATGTTATTAATGTATTTCAAACGATAAAATGTCATTATGTATATTTCTATGGCAGTCCTTCATTTCAAATGACAAAAACTAAAATTTAAAACACATCTAATATTTGTTTTTGTTATCTTTCTTCTTGAATTAGAACAGATAGGACTTGTTTTAGGCAGGTTGAGTCTGAATACATCTACCAATCTACTTAATTTTAGATCTCGCGTTTACTTCGTTTTCTCAGAGACCAAGATAGGAAGAGGTAAAAACGAGATCTCTAATCTAGCTTAGATTTATGACCTGCATTTTTGACTCTCAACATCTAATCAGTAACGCCACCGTGTGGTAAAACTGTTTTGAGTCAAAAGTAACATCATCGGATCTGGTAACACTGCTGTGAGTCAGCATTTACATTACCGAATCTGGTAAAACTGTTATGAGTCAATAGTAACATCACCGGATCTGGTCAAACTATAAGGAGTCTACAGTAACATCACTAGATCTATCAAAACCACTTTACGTAAACAAAAGCATTACAGGATCTGGTAAAACTGTTGTGAGTCAATAGTGACATCACAGGATCTGGTAAAACTGCTGTGAGTCACCATTAACATCAAACGATCTGGTAAAACTGCTGTGAGTCAATAGTAATATCACAGGATCTGGTAATACTGCTGTGAGTCTACAGTAACATCACAGGATCTGGTAAAACTGCTTTGAGTCAATAGCAACATCATTTGATCTTGAAAAAACTGCTCTGAGTCACCATTTACATCAAACGATCTGGTAAAACTGCTGTGAGTCAATAGTTACAGCATTTGATCTGGTAAAACTGCTGTGAATCAATAGTAACATTATTTGATCTGGTAAACCTGCTGTGAGTCAATAGTAACATCATTTGATCTGGTAAAACTGCTGTGAGTCAATAGTAACATATGATCTGGTAAAACTGCTGTGAGTCAATAGTAACATCATTTGATCTGGTAAACCTGCTGTGAGTCAATAGTAACATCATTTGATCTGGTAAAACTGCTGTGAGTCAATAGTAACATCATTTGATCTGGTAAAACTGCTGTGAGTCAATAGTAACATCACAGGATCTGGTAAAACTGCTGTGAGTCTACAGTAACATCACAGGATCTGGTAATACTGCTGTGAGTCAACAGTAACATCACAGGATGTGGTAAAACTGCTTTGAGTCAATAGTAACATCATTTGATCTGGTAAACCTGCTGTGAGTCAATAGTAACATCTTTTGATCTGGTAAACCTGCTGTGAGTCAATAGTAACATCATTTGATCTGGTAAACCTGCTGTGAGTCAATAGTAACATCATTTGATCTGGTAAAACTGCTGTGAGTCAATAGTAACATCATTTGATCTGGTAAAACTGCTGTGAGTCAATAGTAACATCACAGGATCTGGTAAAACTGCTGTGAGTCTACAGTAACATCACAGGATCTGGTAATACTGCTGTGAGTCTACAGTAACATCACAGGATTTGGTAAAACTGCTTTGAGTCAATAGTAACATCATTTGATCTGGTAAACCTGCTGTGAGTCAATAGTAACATCTTTTGATCTGGTAAACCTGCTGTGAGTCAATAGTAACATCTTTTGATCTGGTAAAACTGCTGTGAGTCAATAGTAACATCTTTTGATCTGGTAAAACTGCTGTGAGTCAATAGTAACATCATTTGATCTGGTAAAACTGCTGAGCTTACACAATTCTTTAAGTAATAATTCGATCAGGAGTATTCCGCTAACTCGGCTGCTTTGTATATTTTTCGAAAGTTTCCAAAACTTATTTACTTTATTTCCATTTTTAGAGATGTTGGTGCCGGAAATGAGAAGTGAATAATTGTATTATGATTTTCTACCAAGCATTGGTTGATATTTATCGTTTCATATTATCTTAGATACATTTTACAATGAACTCACGAGGTCACGGGCGGTTAACGTTGTACGGTACACACACTGGGTCACGTATATCGGAATCACATGGCTCTGTAACAAACACACCTGTAAGTCGTACAAGTAACCCTTTGTTTTACTGTCCCACAAAAATATTGTCCTTAAATTAATCTCTATGTGTCAGATGATAATGCCTGGTAGTTTTTAAAGGTTTACTTAAGTACTGTATAATAAGTCACCACACCTAACAATGCTGGGGGTCACCAGTGATCAAAGAGGACCTAGGGACATCACACAGGACACCTTGGCAGCGATATGTTAATGGTTTCTATAAAATGTGGTAAGCTGTATTGAAACCATTTATAATTAACTACTAACAAGACAAAGCGTTTTCATAGTTAACTGCGATTAAATTGATGAAAAGATGAGTGCATTTCAAGCAATGGTGGACTTTCTATTTTATATTTTATGACATTTATATCAGAAGGGTATCCATACACAGGACGGACGTCCTACTCGAGGTAAATATTTATCCTCGGACAAACCTTTACGATGGCTGTCCATCTCTGGACAAACACGAGGAAGTGAAATAGTAGGGGTTCATTTCCCGTGTAAATGTACTGACGAGATAGTAGTTGTTTACTACACGTGTAGATGTACTGACGAGATAGTAGGTGTTCACTAAACGTGTAGATGTACTGATGAGATAGTAGGTGTTCACTACACGTGTATATGTATTGACGATATGATAGGTGTTCACTACACGTGTAGATGTACTGACGAGGTAGTAGGTGTTCACTACACGAGTAGATGTACTGACGAGATGATAGGTGTTCACTACACGTGTAGATGTACTGACGAGATAGGTGTTCACTACACGTGTAGATATACTGACGAGATAGTAGGTGTTAACTACACGTGTAGGTGTACTGACGAGATAGTAGGTGTTCACTACACGTGTAAATGTACTGACGAGATAGGTGTTCACTACACGTGTAAATGTACTGACGAGATAATAGGTGTTCACTACACGTGTAGATGTACTGACGAGATAGTAGGTGTTCACTACACGAGTAGATGTACTGAATAGATAGTAGGTGTTCACTACACGTGTAGATGTACTGACGAAATAGTAGGTGTTCACTACACGTGTAGATGTACTGATGAGATGGTAGGTGTTCATTACACGTGTAGATGTACTGACGAGATAGGTGTTCACTACACGTGTAAATGTACTGACGAAATAATAGATGTTCACTACACGTGTAAATGTACTGACGAGATAGGTGTTCACTACACGTGTAAATGTACTGACGAGATGTTACGTGTTCACTACACGTGTAGATGTACTGACAAGATAGTAGGTGTTCACTACACGAGTAGATGTAATGACGAGATAGGTGTTCACTATACGTGTAAATGTACTGACGAGATAGCAGGTGTTCACTACAGGTGTAAATGTACTGACGAGATAGTAGGTGTACACTACACGTGTAAATGTACAGACGAGATAGTAGGTGTTCACTACACGTGTAGGTGTACTGACGAGATAGTAGGTGTTCACTACACGTGTAACTGTACTGACGAGATAGGTGTTCACTACACGTGTAAATGTACTGACGAGATAGTAGTTGTTTACTAGTAGGCAGTTTTCTATGTAGCTTGTAAATTTTCTGTTTCATGTACCTGTGTAAATGGTCATAATAATTTCAACTTTTTACTGTTAAAGGCTGTCAACTGTAATATTTCATTTATTTCATGAAACTTAACACACCATAAATTTGTTGAAGAAGACATTAGCTTTTGACAAGTAGACAGTCATATACTAGCAAAGGTGGGAATTGTTTACGACACTCGCAGGTGCGCGGTGTCGTGCCACCTGGCTGGATGGCCCAAGGCGTCCCGAGGCGTCCCTATCTTGGCAAGGACGGGATCAGTGGAGCGTAAAACAGTCAATAACGAC